GCCGGCCGGGGTCCTGGGCCCGTTGCGGCTCGCAGCCTCGGCCCCCCCGCTTCTGAATGTTTACCTTGAGACCAAGTGAATGGCGGGCGTGGGGCGCTTTCCGGCCGCTGAGTTTTCGGCTGTCATCGCGATGCTGTTAGTGTTTCGGCGCTGGCCACGCGGGGTCCGGGCCGGTGACCCGACGTTAGGGCGCCTCTCACCGGGCGGCCGGCAGCTCCTTCAAAACGTGTTTTTTGACGTCTAGACGTCTTCGGAATTAGCTTCTGTCGGCTTGTCAAGATTCGGCCCCAAGAAGGCACCAGGCCCGGCCCGACCTCTCGGGCGGTCGGGGAGGCGGCGGGAGGAGGGCGCGCCGTCGTGGGCCCGCGGCGTCGCGGTCCGAGGGGCTGGCGTCATTCTGCTGCGCAGCCCAGACCGAGGACCGCAGAGGTTGGGGTCTCTCCGCCCGAGCCTCCCGCGTGTCGGGTGGGGGAGGCGGGATCCGGCGTGGATGCGCGGCGGCCCTCGCTGGGAGGAGGCAGCGCACGCCTGCGGCTGTCAGCACCTGTGGCTTCCTTCGCGCCTGGTCCGCATAGGTCCTTCATCGTGGCGTGTCATTCTTGCAGCTCACCTGGGATCCACCGCTCTTGAAAGGTCGGGGACCCTTCACTGAGGCGTCTTTGTGTTTTGCAGGGCTGAAGAAGATGCAGAGCAGCCTGAAGCTGGTGGACTGCATCATCGAGGTCCACGATGCCCGGATATCCTTTGGCAGTGCGTGGCCGCCGCTCTTCCTGAGTCGGCCTTTGCGAACAGCAGGCACCGTCGCTGTGTTGTGACCTTGCTTCCGCCCACCTGCTCCACCTGGCCCTGGTCCAGTCCGTCACCCCCAGTGACCAGCAGCCTCACCTGTCGTAGTTATTGACATTTAAAGCAGTGATTCTTAACCCTCATTGCACATTACAATCACCCGGGGAGGCTTTTAAAAGTGCCAGTTGCTAGGCCGCTTTCCAGGTGGGTCAGTCACAATCTCTGGTGTGGGGTCCAGGCCGCATGTTGTTTTGAAGCTCCCCATTGATGCACAGAATCTTTTGTCTTGGCTGCTGCCTGGTTCACCCCAGCCTTCCAGTATGGTCCAGCAATAGAATTCTCTAGTTAGGATATGAATCCTTAGTTAAATGTTTCTGCTAACTGGGGCTTTCCTCCTGTGCTGGAGTGCATTGGTGAGATGTGATAATCTTGTTCATTGACAAGTGTATTCTTCAGACCCTGAGGTTGTGTTTAGGTTCTCCTTATATGATGGAGGTATTGATTTGAGACTTGTTACCACCCTGGCTGATTCACCTCAGAAGAGTGTGGGAAGATGAACCAGCTGGCCTAGAGACAGCCAGCTACATGTGTGTGATGACCATGGCTTTCACTGCCAGGAGTCTTGGGAAGACTATCCCCTTGCCAGGGAATAGCAGTGGAGGATGAAGGACCACTTTCAGTGTTTCGAAGGTTGTTGGAACTTCAGCAATAAAGCTTTGGGTTTCTTTGCTGTAGGCTGTAAATATTATCAAGTCATACAATATCTCAGGCTAGTCAGAAGTGATTATTGGCAATTATATGTCTGATTATTAATAATAAAACCTGTGGTTGTTATTCAGTATATGTGATGAGAGGACAGTTCTGCTCTGGTCTCTGGTCATTCTGCCTTATCTAGGATGTGGCAAAAAGCCCACATGCTGGGTAGTGGCCACCGTATCATCCAAGGGGAGGAGTCTGGAGGCTTGTGTTCTGAGTGATCACAGGATTGGGTAGCCTCTGAGGGAAGAGTGGGGTTTACATCAGATCCCTGTGTGGGGTGGGACACAGTGGCTTAACTGGGTGCCTAGATTGAGGCATGCCAGAGGCCTTGGGAATCTCACAGATAGACTCAGTAGGAGAGAAGAGTCACCAGGAAGGGCCGAGGGCTCAAGATAAACATGAAAAGCACCCCCCTGCCTGTGTTAGTGTTACAGGAGGTGAGGCCCACAGTGAATCCCAGGGATCCCTGCCTGAGGGGAGGGAGAGGGGATCTCCAGTGTCCACGGAGAGAATGGACCTGCCCACTTGCAGGTGTAGCTACTGGGCCCCAGGCCATGCGCACCCCTCCTTGGTGGTCACAGAGGGTGTCAATGGTGATTTGAGATGTTCTAGTTAGGACTTTATGGGAGGCACTTCGTTTTGAATGATCAGATCATCTTGAACTTGTGTACTGTGGCTACTAAACAGTGACATAGTTTCAAAACCTTTCTCTGAGCTTCACTTTTTGTTTTTGCCACCATCATTCCTGTCTGGGGAGCTACGCAAGAGCCACTGCCCTGCCTGACACCTGTGTGGCCTACCCTACTGTGGCACAGGGAGAAGGCGTACCCTTTCCCCAGCTGGGAGGGCAGGATTGGGGTTGGTCGAGGTTGGCCAGGCCAGCACTTGCTGTGAAACTGGGTTTCCTCAGTGATGCCAATCTGTATCACAAGACAAAGCAAAATAAGTTAATTGGCCAATAAAACTTTGAAGGAGTTTCTGCCTTAATTTTGCCACATCCCACTTTCAGGCCGCAACCCTCTGTTTCAGGAAACCCTTGGACTTAAGCCTCACCTGCTTGTCCTCAACAAAAAGGATTTGGCAGATCTTACAGAGCAGCAGGTAAAGGCCTTTCCCACAGATGCCTTCAGCACAGCTGTGTCTTCCTAGGCCACTTGTATCTAATAGAAGGGTCGCTCAACTCAAACAAACCCGGCTTTAATTTACCCAGACAGGATTTGCTTTAGTAGACCACTCTGCTTTGCAGAAGTATTCCAGTATGGTTTCTTAATCTAGCATGCTTTCCTCTAACATTTAATTTATGATCCAGATGCTCAAAATGTGCATACTTCCCATGGGAAGTGGTCAGGTGGTGCTGCCGGATACCAAGTGACAGCCATAACAACACTGTCCCGCGGACTTCTCCTTAGTGATGGAGATGCCCAGTGTCCTCTGTCCCATGGGGTGGCCTCTGGCTGCGGTGGCTGTGAGCACCTGACATGTGGCCATTGCAGCTGAGGAGCTGGCTTTCACATTTTATGTAATTTTACTTAGAGTTCCAGAAGCCTTGTGAGGCCAGTGGGGCTGGCGGCTGCAGCCCTGGACAGCTTGAGCACCTGACATGTGGCCATTGCAGCTGAGGAGCTGGCTTTCACATTTTATGTAATTTTAATTAGAGTTCCAGAAGCCTTGTGAGGCCAGTGGGGCTGGCGGCTGCAGCCCTGGACAGCTGGGCTGGTGTGGAGGTCGGCTGTGGTGGCTGCACTGCCTCAGTGTCCATGCTGCCAGTGTGGCCCTGAGGTCTGTATGCTGGCTGCCTCTGCACACCCTGTGATCTGGAAGCTGGGAGGAGTAGAAGTGGGAGTCGGGGTGGGGGGAAGCCCAAAGCCAGGCAGAACTGGGGTGTAGGTGACCCAGGGCAGGATATTTTCCACGTGTCTGGAGGTAACAGAAACTTGACTCTGGAAATGTTATTTTTGAAGTGTTTGTCTCTGCTTTTCTTGTGCTGTGTCAAATCCTTCGCAAAGAGTAGGTGTCAGAATCGTTTGAATTCAAGCCAGTTTTTAAGTTGCTAATGGTGCAGAATTTTCCTTTCGTTGCTTCAGCGGTAATGCCTTTCAGGTTTCATAGTTGACTGTGGTGCATTCGAGTTACTAAATTGCAACCACAGACTGTACCACAGGTTTCCAGGGAAACGTTAAATACTAAAACCGTAAGCGTCCTTATTCATTAAGAATCCAAACAGAAGGCATTTACCATAACGACCCAGCCCCGCTGCGCATGTCTTTGTTATGATTGATAGCAATCTGCATCATCGTAGTGGACAACTAAATAAGTAACTAAAACAAACTGAACTCATGTATGACCTTTTTTTTTTTTTATGTAAGCATAGATCGTATTTTTAGGTCAGTAGCTGATCAAATAATACGACACTGATTTAAAAAAATATCCAGCTTTACACTGATTTCACTGAAAATTAAGGCTAGTAAATTTATATTAACCTTAATTTACTTTTGGGCTTTTAAAGTATTACGTAGTCTGTGTTATTAATCAAATTCAAACCTCATTTTAAAGTGGAGTTCATCCTGTGAAAGGTCAAAATACACAAGGGTACTGAGATTACTCGATGAAGACCAAAACTGTAATTTCAGTGCTGGAAGTGGCCTCAGGACAACCTTGGTCAGCCTCATTTTACACACAGACAGTACCAAGTGTGGAGGGGCAGAGCCTGGAGTGCACAGACTGCATGGCCCAGCTGTCCCTTCCCCAGTCACTGCCCTTCTATCCTCACCAGAGGCAGCAGCTCTGGGGGCCAGTGATGGGGCCAGGCCGCCCTCTGACCCCCAGTCCTCGCCGCCAGGGCTCACTGTCCATCACCTGTGCCCCTGCCCGTCTCCTCGCCCAGCTGCTTGAGGCCGGGGTGTTGGGCCCACAGTGGCTCTGAGTGGACAAATACTCTTGGCAGAGTGTTCCTTCAGGTCAGATCCTTGAATTTTATTCTATCACACTATCCTGTTTTCTTTTAGTACTTTAAATGGAAATGTCTCTTTCAGAAAATTATCCAGCACCTTGAAGGAGAAGGCCTAAAAAATGTCATTTTTACCAATTGCATAAAGGATGAAAATGTGAAGCAGGTAGGCTTTTTTCTGTTTACACTAATGTTGCTGCTTCAGTACATTCAAGGAATAAAGTAAATCATTTTATGCTTTAATAAGAAGCAGAGTTTTGGAAGAGATCTGAGGTACTGGTTTCCAGCTGGCACACGGGTGTGTGTGGGTCTCCTGGGGTGATGCATCTCCTGTGCTGGGGTGGGGAGATGGTCCATCAGGAATTTTGAAAGAGGATGGAGTCAGGCTGTAAAAGTACGTCCCAAGGTCATAGTTGCACAAACCCTTTTGAAGAGTCGAGCCACTTATTTTTCCCTGTTGTATTTGGCAGAATCTCACAGGCTGACGTGCATCTTCAGAGAAGGTGGCGAGAGTCACAACTGTTGCTGGAGCTCCCCAAGGAGCTGCTTGCTTGGTCATGGTGGGACAGGGGTGGACAGAGGTGGTCCCTGGCTGCCAGGGCTCAGCTGACATCTGTGATCTGGATAGAGCTCATTTTGCGACACTGGACAGTTGGGCGCCTCCAGAGGTTAAGGAAGAAACTAGGTTTCTACATGGACTCTTGAGTGGAAGTCTGGATATGAGGCCTTGTGCTCTTGACTAAAGATTGTAAAGGGAGGGTTGGCCCGGTGGCGCACTGCTACAGTGCGCCGCTTGGGAGCGCGGTGGCGCTCCCGCCGAGGGTTCGGATCCCACATACAGACCGGTTCCTGCTCACTGGCTGAGCGAGGTGTGGGCGCAGCACTGAG